AGGTGTTATTATTATATTGACAATGAAAGTTTATCTGCAAAGAAATATCTGGTGGTTTTTCTGGGTTCGGGTACCGTGCAGACTCATAGGTAGGTGCCAACATTTTGAAGAAATATTCTGTCTCCAGCAGAGTTTTGCGCACTTCCCGTACAATCAACGTAAGTGTAAAAATCTATTACACTTTGAAATCTCACAAACACTGTGTCTGCATGGTGAACATTAAATTAGTTCAAAGTACAAAACCATTTAACAAGCATCTTACCACCAAGCTGAAAGTGTTGATGTTCCTCCACTGATTCAAGTAAGTGTATACGTGCCATCATTAAACACGTTGAACATAAAATTCCAAAACAAAACAGTCAGTCCCCTGATACAAATTCTCAGCTGATGTACATTATGGAGACAATAATAAAAATCTCACTGATATTTTTGATAATATCTGAATTATGATGGTGAAAATCACTAGAACATTATATAAATAAATTTTATACTGAAATATATCCTTCCTGCTTTAGTTTTTTTTTATTGTGTTGCCATAATAAGGGAAGAAACAGGTTCAAAAAGTTTAAAACTGAATTTAATTCTTTCATTCAAAGACAAAAATTCTTGTCTCATGATTGTACTTAGAATGTTTTGCTGCACATGCAAAAAAATTATATACAACATTTTACAGTTTATATCTAATTAAGATAGCAGCTGGCATGTAAATATTCTATTGTATTTAACATACATTTTGTATATTTTACATTCCCTGATGATGTCAGCAATTGGCTGAAACATGTTACAGTGGCTTCCAAATAATTTAATTTATCATAATTGGTACTAAGCTTACTTTAATATATTTTGTTTACGTAAATACAGGAGCATGTTTTAGCTATAAACATTCTGTTGAGGGTTAAGAGGAAAATCGTGCTACACTTGACATTTTTGCCATGATGTTTTCAGTAAATCATCCACGAAACAATGAAAATCAGTTGTTATTTAATTAAATGATTTGTGAAAATCATGAAGTTGTCTTCACTTTTTCAAAATAGTAATTTCAGAGTCACAAAGAAATTAATACTTAGCAGCATCATGCTCCAATTTCGAGTTGGAAAACAGGAAAATAAATGTGGGGAAGATTTACAATGTCATGAAAGTTGTCACTAACCATTAGAATAGTAAAAATAACAGTATACAAATTATCTCATTAGTAACTGACATTTCATACTGATACAGAAATCCAAATTTATATGATAATTACTATTTGGTTCATTCTCCATGAGCCAAATCTTACAGTTGCAATTGTTAATAAGGGTCACAGAAATAAATGGCTTGCTAGAATAATTCCATTTTATATTCAGATGGAATCATTTAGGGAGACTGGAAGGTTTTCAGTAAACTGCAGTATGTTAGGTGTTCTTCACACTACGATGTCCACAAAGAACACCTTATGGGCCCATCCATGCATTTTTTCCTAGGAACTAGGCAACCCTCATGGTCCAGGGTCATTGTTAGAACACATTGGTGCAACAACATAGAAAACATGTTATTGTTGGGACACTGTTGGCAGCAGTGGGTACCAAGGTCATTGTTGGCTCTTAGCAGCAATCTTGGATCACATTATTGCAACAATTAGATTTGCTACCATTGTTGCATTTATTATTCCTTTTGAGTAATAGTGATATAAATCCACAGATCCTTTGAGACGACATGCTGACATCACGGCCCATGATGTGACATGAAGAACACTTTTGGAATTTCAATATACTCCAAAGAGTGAAGTAAAGTAAAAGCTGTCCCACTATACGCCATGTAGGCGCTTGGGGGGTGTGGAGGTATAGCTCCTACTCATTCTTGACCTCGGCACTAGATGGGGGTGAGTGGTCAGCATCACGCCCCGGCCGGCTTTACCCCCGGGAAATGACCCCGGTTCCCATTGGATAGGAGGCTGGGTGGACCCCAGAGTCGGTCTGGATGCAGGGGCTACAGGAAAAATCCTCTGCCCCCGTCGGGGATCGAACCCCGGTCGCCCAGTCCGTAGCCAGTCACTATACCGACTGAGCTACGCCACGCTTTTTAATACAGTTCGATTGGCGAGAAGGTTATTAAATAATGTTATATCAACTGCTGAAGTTGCAAAGTATTATGTCACATTGCATAACCATTCAAAATGAAGCAAAAATATACATTTGGTTACATTTATGAGATCACCCAAACATGGTAAAACAGGAATCTTGGTCACCCTGCAATATCAACTGTCAGAGTTAATTTGCTATGTGAAAAAGAATTTTCATTCCTTAAATTCTAACGTAGCTGTTGGGAGTTCTTACCAGAAAGGAAATGTGGAATTTCTATATCACCATATTGTGAAGAAATATGGGTGGAGTTCCAGTATATATATGAATGTGAATGGTCACATTCATGGTCCAACTGCTTCTCTTATGATACGCACTAGATAGGAGGTTGGGTGAGTTACACAAAGCCAGTCTGGTTGTGGTGGAAAAGAAGCAGTTCCCATCTAGTCTTGTTTATTATTCTTGAGCACATGAAATATAAACCCTGTAAATAGAACTAACAAGTTATAATTTAAGGTTAAGAAAGTGCGCAAAGTGTTAACTTATATAGTATATATAAAATTACAGAACTGGCAAAATGAAAGTTGCACTATTCCTCTTAAACCTTTTGTATATATCATAAATGGCAAAATTATTAGTCCAGACAGGACAGTTGTATATGATTAAAAAAAAAACTGGAGCAGTAACTTTTCTGCAATCCTTAGTTACAATTATCATCACAGTTTAATACCACAGACACAGAGTGGTTGTGTGGCTTACCTATCAGCTCTGTAAAATGGGCAAACTAACTAAATAACTCCACGAAGCAAAGTCCTTCTTAAGAAGGTGACAACCATTCAGCTGGTTAAAAAATTCACTGCCTTTTATGGAACTGGAAGGTTCAATGCCATGTTCACAGGAGCCCACCACTGGACCCAATCCTGAGCCAAAGTTAGTAAATTAAGATACAGTATTTTATTTTACTCCCCTAAAGATGAGGCACCAACTATGAGTCTTCAAATGTTTAATGTAAACAATGAAGGCTTTGAGCACCAATATCTTGTTAACTAATTTACAGCTCTAAAGTAAATGGTACATGGCATTATTTCTAACATTTCTTAAACTCTGACATTTATCTCCCATTTCAAAAATGTTTTACAACATATATAATTCAAAATGGAAACAACTGACAATATTTTCAATGAAATCATTGAAATAAATATAATTCAGATGAAAGTTAGAGCCTACTAATGTACAGTTCTGATCGCAATGGGTCTTGCAGAACTGGATCTTACACTATTATCGCTACAGTGACCTCAGCAGATTTCTGTTTAAGGAATTTTGCACATTTGCACATCGTGTATTATAGGAACGCACAAGGTTAAAGGGCACCCTGCTTAAAACAATTTCTCCTGCACTAAAAGCATGCTACACACTGCTAATGCCCATCAGTGTTTCAGCAATAAAATTATGCCATCAAATACTAAATTTCTGTACTTCCTCAATCACAAAAAAGTATTAAGCGGATTTCTTAAAATATAATTTTTATGGGATTATTAATTTTGTTAGAGAATCTCTTCATACAGGGTTGTATATGTCCCTGAAAATCCAGCAGTCATAGGGCTAATTCTGTAGAGTCTAGTATCAATTAGGAGTGAATGTGGAACAAACGACGCGCAATACCACAAGGACCACAATCAGCTGGTCCCTCGAAATTTCATGTCTTTGAAGTATTCTGGTGTGTACTGACATGTTGCTTTTGTCAGTCGAGATATACTTCTTTTTTGCAAACTTTTTCATTGTAAATATATTTACATTACAAACAAGAAATGTAGTTATTAATTCAGAGATTGTGATTTTAAAAAATGATCACTCATAAGTCATTCAAAGATGAAATTTCAAATGTAAATGGACAGTGTAGGAATACAAATGTTTTAAATATATTGAGAATAACTTAAAAGTAAGTTCACCAGCCTCAAGCCTTGAAAATTAAGATGCAGACCTAACTGGAAAGTTGAAAGCATTAAAATTTAATGCATGTACAATTCAGTCATATGTGGAAAGAAAGCAGTATGCCCACTTTCTGTAAAATGAATTCTGTATGTCAGGTCTTCATTTTGAGACCAGTCAAATTCAGTGAGGATTTCTTCCCTCCTTGGCAAAGTCAAAACTTTGTGAATCTGTGGATTATTAGGACCCCGACAATTTACACAGTTCACTTATATAAGTTCCAGACTAAAACTGAAGGCGTTATATGAAATAATTCAGTGTAATGATACTGTTATTTGGAACATTTATTCTTGTCACTGTTCAGAATTAGGTAAACATAATGAAAATAGTGCAGTTGGATTTATTTTGTTTATCCTCTTACTGACAACAGAAGATCGACTTCATACTCAGTTAAGCCATTTACAGTTAAAAGCACAAATGTTCATCCACTTAAAGATGAATTGACCACTGTCTAAGAGGTGCTTACTGCCTCCATTACCAGGGTGATTAGTAGTAAGTACCTTTGTAACATCAGTCAATGAGATTTCAAGGCAAGTCTTCAAATGGTTATTTTTCAGTCTGTCGTAAATTCCATTCTGACGATGGCTTTTTTTCTGAGCTCTTGTTGTTTTGAAAAAAAACACAGTTTTTAGAAATATAATTTTTCAGAATTCTTATATTTTTGCATCCATATCTTTCTGTATCTCATGGCAGTGAACATGTAAAGTATTAACTTATAACATTTGAGGGTTTCACAGTGGTGGAAGTGTGGATTTTGGTCTTCCAAGTTCTAAAAAATGACATACTCTGAAAGATGGAGGTGATAAATTGCTCCAAAATCTTGGTAACCACCTACAAGACTACATATTGTCATTACCCATATGACTACAATCCACAAAGTATTAACTTGATCCAACAGCTATTTTATGCTGTTCATACATAACATTTATAAAACATAATTTTTCTCCACAAAGAAGTAAATAGTAACAACTGTTGCTCTTGTGTGCATTTGTGCTCTTAAAATGGGTAGAGGCTTAATATTTCTGTCTTGTCTTATTGTTTCTTTCAAAAAGTTACTAATTTTCATTAAATTAAATTTTGTTTTGAATTGGTGAACTAACTGTTATGGATATAGCACCAGCCCTATTGCTGATATGAAAGTTTGTGATCTTAGATGAGTGTGGTATTTTTCAAAGCAGCTATTAAGGTGCAAACCTGATTTCTATTTGATATTTCACTGAGTATCATAATATAAAATATAATGAAATATTTTAACATAATTCTTATTCAGTGGAATGCATCTTGTTACCCTGCATAATGGCTAGTTTTAAAATAACTCCAGAAAACTTAATTGAAATAAATAAATATTGGCATCTGTCCATTTGGTTTATAGTTACAAGAATTAACAAATGTAAAAGATAAAAGATAGATGCCTCTGTATCTAAGCATCTTGATCAAATACAGAAATCATGGAGCTATGACTCCATGCAGTTCACATCTCAGCACTAAATGGAACTGTGCCCTCTTTGGAAAGGATGCTGCCCCCCCCCACTCAAAGTGGCAGAACTATTACAATCATACATAACTTACAGAGCCAAATTTGCTCAGTTCAAATAAATATATACAAGCTTTAATTCAACTAGTTTTTCCAGGTATATATGAATGAGGTTATTCATTGAATCACCAAAAGCTGTTTCATTGTCATCATCTAATTCATCACTAATATTTATACACAGTAGCAACTGATGTAAAAAACTTGCACTAAAAACCTTGCAAATTTGTAATAATTCATTAAAAATATAACAGCACTATTCAGAGTGTACAAATGTGGAGTATATAAACTCAATTTGAGTTCTAATTCTACTTCAAAAACAGACAGATGGAACATAATTTTGTAAATGTCCGAGTTAAAAATTCCACCACTGAAACAAGTCAGGCAAAACATTCCACACTATTCCTGACCACAGCAAACACTGACATTCCTGTCAGCGTTCGGAGACAAGCGGAAGGGAGAGACTCGACTGTCTCCTTTTGTTATCTCTATACTGGCCATGTTACAAAACAAACACTTTCAGTAGTACGTTCGTACATACTTCAGGTTACGTAAAAAATCTTCCCTCTTGTGATTAATGTAAGATAGTAACAGCTACATCTGGGGGTGGGGAACTGCAGATAATGTTGATTATTTTTCAATAATGAATGATCAATATGATAGAAAAGTCTAGCCATACTAACACAATGACAAAATATTACTTTCCAATTTTGTCCTAATACATACAGTACAAAATAAACTGAGATTGTGTGAATGCTAATGCTTCATGAGGGGCTCTTCTGTTGCATCCACTATACTGGGGCGTAAATCTACGTCTCCATCATCCACCAAGACAATTGTTGTAGCGCTTGCTGCAGAAGGTGATTGGTCAACAGGTAAAGAAACTTTACGAGTAGCAATACAATGTGCAAGCGGTACAGAAGCTGAGGATGGTAAATTTGTCGAGAGACTGCCAGACCGACGGAGCCTTCGACTAAAGCTGCTCTTATGTCTTCCACTTAAGGCTTCTAGTTCGTGACTCTCACTTGCACTTGGATGTAAAGCACAGACTGTACTAGATGTAGACAATGTTGACTCAGAGAGGACATTGGTATAAACTGTCTTGTCAGCATGATAAACACCACTTGAATCTTCATTGCTTCCATTTCGTTTACCGCAGCAATTTTGGTTGAGGCGTGGATATGAAAATTGTCCAAATCCATGCTGTGGTCCTCCAACTCGAAGCAGAGATCCTAGGAAAAAGGTGGAGTATATCCAGCTGACAGCCATCACAGTAATCAAGAAGACTCCAATCTGGATGTAAGCAAGCACTGCAGATGGAAGCATGAACGCACCAGCTGCAGCTGTTGTCAGGGCTGCCATGGCAGTCGGACCTCCCATACGGGAGACAGCATATGTCACGGACGATTCCCTGTCCTCACCATCTGGACACATCCGATAGTGAACTCCATAGTGTAGACTGAAGTCAACAGCTAGACCAATGGCTACTGACACAGCAATGGATTCAAGGACATTTAATTTCCATCCAAGTAATACAAGTACTGCAACTGTCACAAAGATGATGCACGATATTGTGATGATGGCATATATGCTAATGAGGATATTCAGTGTGACAAGTAGCAATACAACAAGAGCAATGCCCATAGAAACACCAATGGCTATAAGAGTACCTCGTGACAATGTGAGCTGCAGGTCATAGAATTCAAGGTCACTTACAAACCAGCCATTTCTCATGCCAGGCGGGGCTTCTGAAAGTTCTTTACGTGCCCACAACTCAACTTGTTGGAAAAAGTTATCCATGTCTGAAAATGAAAGTGAGAAAGAGTGATTGCTATCGTATTCAACAACAAGTGCACGAATTTTAGGATGTTCCTCTCGAGAGAATTTAAGTCCAGCTGTACCCGGTATTAAGTATGAAGGGGTTTCATACAGGTGCCCTATGGCTTGCACTATGCACATCTCAAAGACCTGGCGCTCATAAGGGAATGTTGAGTTCTCACAGCAAGGAGTCCTGTCAATATGATCAACAGGATCTTTGCATCTTCGCTGCATCCATGATTTGAAGGATGTGATGAAGCAGTTTGGTAACAGAGGGCCCAGCATTGGCTGATAGAAACTTTGCATTCTGAGATGATGACAGAAACGTAGCAGCCATCGTTGGGATTCTGGAGCTGCCACGTCAAATGTATCATCATATATTAGGGTTCCGCGTGCTCCAGGATCTAAGTAGTCGCCATTATCAACTGGCATGATGCCCCAAACAAATCTAAGTGGCAACTTGGCATTCATACTGTCTTCACTGTCACCCTGAAAGCAAGAAACAAGTAAATTAATCAGTGATAGGTTTCTAATTTATACTCAACTTTATTCACTATAATGAAAGAATGTGCACATACAATTGAAGAAAATAATGGGGATTCCATAGCTAAGTAATTTAAATAATTAATCTAACCCTCTGGCACAGTATAGTGATCTGAAAATTCAACACTACTTTTAACAAATTCAGAATGAGTCCAATACAATGCAAATTACTAAATTTTATTAAGGTCTATTTTAAAATTATCTTCCCAACTGTATCTCACTCTTGAAATTGTTGTTTCCCAAATAACCTTCCCTACAAAAATCTACACATGATTCTTGTTTCTTACAGACAAACATTCATGGATGGGCACAAAATGTGTCCTTCACTCAAGCTACAGTATATATATGGGGGTCCGCAGTGGCCTCGCGGTCTGAGGCGTGGGTCTTGTGCCGCTTGGTCGCTGGGACCATAGGTTTGAATCCCACTCAAGCCATGGATGTTGTCCGCGTCTTTCTGTGTTTGTGCTGTCCTGTGTACAGGTGCAGGCCTTGTGATGGGCCAATCCCTCGTCTAAGGAGTCCTACCAAATGTCTATAGATCAAGCCAACATAAAGTTGGGACCCGCAGTGCTCAGGCACTTGAAGATCGGGTCGTTCCCAGTATGATAAAATTAAATAAAATAAAAAACAACAACAGAAGATTGAATTTAAGAAGACCTCTAAAGAATTGGAATGATTGGAAGAAGAAAAGAAAGACATTACCTTCTTAAGCCGTTCAAACCAAAAGCTGTCCCTGTAGACTACATCATAAAGCTCAAAAGGATGCTGACTATCAAATAGCTGGAAGTTCTTGGAATCTGGCAGCCTGAGGCGTGGATAGTAGAACACGATTCCTACGCTTGCAAGTGCCAAACCACCAAGGAGACACAGCCATAAATAAGGAAGTCTGATGACAGCAAACACAAGAATCTTGTCCAGCAGTGCACGGGCCCGGTCGGCAACTACGCGGGCAGGCCGCAACTTGCTATCCAATGCAACCCACTGAGTTGGTGCCACTGGTGGGCAGCTCCACCGTTCAGACACTACTACAGCTGCCGGCAGCCATGTCACCATCAGTGCAAAGTTTGCAAGAGTAGCAGTACCAGCAAACACACTGGAAGGAGACATATTTAGATGTCTTAACTGGTTCTGACAAATTCCTGGACCATTTAATAGTATTAAATTATTTTATATACTGCAGAAAAAATCTGTGTGTGTGTTAATAACAATGGAATCCTGAAATACCTTAATTTTACAGATTTTGTGAATTCTGATTGCAACATTCATATTCTTATAGACATCTTTTGAATGAGTGGTCATACACTCCCCATAGTTGCTCCCATCTGCTCACAATTTCAATTTTCCTACAGACTTCTGTAAATAGATGGTTTTAACTAAAGATGCTACATGATGAAGGAACAGAGGAAAACCATGTAATACTCATGATAGATTCCTCAAAGTTTTATTACCCCAATTTTATATTTCATATTCTGTTTACCTTAATGTTGTTTCTGTTTTATACAGATCAATGTTCACATTTCCATGACCATGGGATAAATTTTCACATTATTTTCTCATCATTCCGAGTGGCCAACTTCATAATTTTTCCAGCAACATTTTGTAAGCATTTCCTATTTCCTCTAACCACGCTACATGTCCAGTTCAGTTCAACCCTGATTTGATTGCTATATTCTATAAACAATACCACTTTAAAGCCCAGAGTTAATTATATGTACTGCCCATTGTAACAATCGGTAACCCTGCGTTTTGTATTAATGGGTTCGACATGATTCTCGAAACAATGATTATTTCCTAAAATAGCATTAACCAACTGATCTTAGTAATGGTGAAGTTTTGAGCTATTATGAGGTATGGATTGACTACTTAAATATTATAGATAAGCTTTAGCATCAAAAGGTTAAAATAAAATTTCATAAGACTAACCTGAAGCAACAAATGGCAGTCACAGAGCTGATGTAGGACGCATAGAATGCTGCTGCAGTCGTGAGTGAAGTGACAAACATGGACAGTGTCGCATGTCTTAGAGTGTCATGTACCAGCTTCACCAAAGTTCCATTATTCTTCTCAGCTTTAGAACACTGCCACACCTTGCAAAAGATGAAGGCATCGTCTGCTCCAATGCCTGTAACAAACAAGAAATTTGCACATCCGTTTGTGACGCTTTGTCTGAACATGCTACGTTTTCATAGTGTGGGGTTGTTATCCTATCCACTCAGCCCCCAAGCCAAAAAAACCATCTCTTGTCAGCATTCCATTAATGCTTATTGAATATGTTTGCTGCCACCCTCAATTTTGGGGCTGTCTCCTCCATCCACAACCTGAGGATGTGTGATGCTGTGGTGACAAGGGACCCACTTACCACAAATTTGAATTACCAACATTTCAAAATTGAAATACTGTATTACAGTGCTGCAAATACTAGATTAAATTCAATATATTTACCTTCAACTGGAGCTGGGTGCCAGTGCGGAGACTGCTAAATGTAGCCCAGACAGATACAAAAAATCTACTACCAGCAAGCGTACTGCATATGATTGTCACTTACCGACTGCTACAATGGATGCCAGGAGATTCATAAAGGGAAAGAAATTCAGCTCGAACACAAGAGTGTACATGAAGTACGAGATCCCCAGTGAGAAGGCGATTGCGATGACTGTCATGATGGTGACAAACAGAGAACCGGTGTACAGCCACATGCAGACAACCACAAACATGCCTCCAACTCCAATCATCCAAGTGTCTCGCACCAAATACTCATCAAACAACGTGTTCTTCAGTCCTGTGTAAAAAAATATTATTAGCATATAGATATTTTATTATATCCTTGACTCAGTTTAAAGAGCATTTGACTGTAGAGTTTTGAGCAGTAACATACCAAACTCCATGGCAACCACCTCAACATTCCCATGGCGCAGGGAGCGCAGATCAAGTGTGTGGTAGTACTCTAGAATTGCAGAGCTGCATGCAATTGGTAGGATGAGCATGGTGTTTACCAGACTGTTGTTCTGACTGCTTCCCTAAAGAGATGAAACACGTGTACTCTATTTCATTACATGAATAACAGTTGGCCACAGAAAGAGGAATGTCTAAGCCAGTGGTCCCCAACGCGGTGCCCGCCAAGGCTTTTTTTGTGTGCCTGCGTTGTTACTGAAAAGGGTTATACTGAATAATGAAGGTCGTTCAACCATGAAAATTATAAAATCAAAGCACAGATCTCGACTTACTGACGCCCATCTTGACGATTGTTTGCAAGCAGCAACATCATCCTACACTCCCAAATTTGAAAAACTGGCCGATGAAATGCAGTGCCAAACATCACACTAACTTCCCACTTGAGTAATAATAACTGTACTTATAAAACTACGTATTTTTGATTGCATGGTTTCTTGTATCATTAAACGTCGTGTTATCTTGTATATTATTTGGTGTCCATATCTTATTTGTCCCAAGAAAAGAAAATTTGGCTTTGTTAATTGGTTGGTGCCCGCCACGATCTCATAAACTCTCAAATGTACCCGTAGGCACAAAAAGGTTGGGGACCACTGGTCTAAGCTATAAGTGACCTAGGAACTTGACTGACACTGATTTAAATGTATAACTGGTGCAGGTCCAAATGTTACCTTAACCAATTTCAAGATACTAACATTTGGAGGCAGAAAGTTGATATCAACTAGATAGTAGAGTATGTTGTAAACTGCATTATGTAGGCTGCACTGTTTTGGCACCTGCTGGCAGAACCAATAGTCATTCTCTTGGCAATCTGGCGTCAGTTTTAGATTGTGGTAAAAGGGCGAACACATTTTCAGCAGTGCCTTTGTAGCAGTCACATCTTCACTCTGTCAAAAATAATAATACAGTAGAAACAATGAGTTCTCCTTGCGCTTTCCACCTCGTTTCACTCTCTAGTACCACCATTCTGGGCACCTACTTACAAACCACACTGTTACAATGAGCCACCAAGTATACGTGTCCTGAGGCCATGAATGCCCCACACTTACAGTGACTCCAAAGCAGGATGTCCGGTTATGCAAGAGCGCGACGTAGTTTCCGAGAGACCAACTGCGGCAGCACTTTCCTTGTGAGATGTATTGACAGATACTGTGGAATTGCTTGCTTGCCATCAGTTGGGCCTCAACATGGCACATAGAGAGTATGGAATTCAGTGTGAACAAGTCTCCGCCGTCGGTGGCACGAAAGACAACTCGCGAGTAGTCAGCACCTGTGAGACGACAAGTGACAAGGATTAACACAGTTAGCCTGAGAATCACCCACCCACTCACTTGTGCAGGAACGCACGTAGGTCTTCGTGTAAAACGCTCTTTCTTGTTGTCAGATTTTAACCAAAACTGGAATTTGTTTACATATTTTAGTAAAGTTGGAATGGACGAAGAGACAGGACTTCCCCTTTATGCAGTCATTTCACGATAAAACAGGATAAAAGAGAAATGTGAAAAGTTGAGTAATGAGTGAAATATTTTGCAGTAATTACATGTGTATAGTGCCAAAGGGCACGACTGAAAGAAAGAAATTTAAGCTAAACATTCATCTCACTTGGTGATGAGCAGAAGAAACCATCATTTGAGAGATGTTCATGGCCATAATGATGATCCAAGTGGTCCACTCCAGAAGCCTCAAATTCCCCAAGCCGTCGTAGTGCATCTGCATCAGCATTAGTGTTGTTCTTTGACCCTTGAAATACCTGTAAGACAGAGGTTAGCCTTTTTACGTGGGAGGATTTTAGAGTAATGAAAATATGAACTGCAGCCTTCTGGGTAACGATGCAGCGTAATACATAGATGGTTATGTACATGAAGATAACTTCAGAGGTGCTTACTGTGCAATCAACTAGTTGATTTGTATATGACCACATTGTGCAACATTCCAGAAGACAGCCATCTTTATTGAAAATTGTAGTTGGAATACATGAACGGAAAATACCATTTCAGAGATCTAGGCATAGATGGGAGGAGGATATTATTTAAAGTGATCTCAAAGAAATAGGATACGAGAGTGTGGATTGGATTGAACTAGTTCAGGACAGAGTCCAGTGGTGGGCTCTAGGGAATGTGGTAATGAATGATCAGATTCTAAAAAAGGTATTATATTTCTAAAACTGAGGGACTAAGAGCTTCTAATACGAAAGCAACTTCCACGAAATTAGTTATTTAGATGTTAATGAGATCTGTGTTTTATGTCATGTACTGACTTTTTATGGGATGAGCCATTTTTTAGAAAATTAATAATATTTTATTTTAATTTCATGTAAGGTTTGCGTTATACTGAATCTATAAAAACCAAAATTATATTCCCCTTCCAACTTATAATGTTAATTTGATCCAACAACATAAAGTTATATCTAAATCTGTTTAGTAGTTTCAGAGATAAAAGATACATTACTTCATTGCATGTTGTGCACGCAATGCACAAACGTCATGTAAAATAATTAATTCGTGATTATGTCTCGGTGCTGTAACTGTTGCATTTATTGAGTAAAAGTGCTGTTTCAGAACTTTAGATTCAGTTAATGAAGTTTCTGATTTTGTGTTTGATTTGTTTAAGTTAATTTTCTTTTAATTAGAATGAGGGCAAATGAGTCAACTTTTAACCCATCAATTATTAATCAATCTACAAAACTGGATCATTTTAATCACTGAATTTCAATACACAGAGGTTTTATTACTTAGTACTCGCCTCTGAAGTATTCAAAGAGAACTTCCAAGTTACAATATTGTTCTTTCCACCTGGAATGCTGTTCACCTCAATCCCAACTGGGCTCATTGCTTCTGGCAGCTCATTATCTTGTGTTTTCATTTTGTGGGTAAAAGTCGTGCGTTTATCCTCTATTTTATAGTGCTATAACAGAAAAGTTCAGTGCTAATTTTGATTATATCCTTTATATCATTTACCCACTCCTTCAAACTGACTCAAAATGCTAAACACTGTTTTTATAAGCAATAACTGATTGTTTATAAACTCTCAGGTTTTTAAAAAGCTGTGCAAGCAGTTAATTTTGTAGAATAACTGACCACTAAATTGTACAAGCTATTAACTTACACCAGTGGCCCCCAACGCGGTGCCCGCGGGCACCATGGCGCCTGCCAAGGCTTTTTTTGGGTACTCGCTTTGTTACAGAAAGAGGTTATACTGAATAATGAAGGTCGTTCAACCACGAACATTATAAAATCAAAGCGCAGATCTCGACTTACTGACGCCCATCTTGACGATCGTTTGCAAGCAGCAACATCATCCTACACTCCCAAATTTAAAAACTGGCCAATGAAATGCAGTGCCAAACATCACACTAACTTCCCACTTGAGTAATAATAACTGTACTTATAAAACTACGTATTTCTGATTTCATGGTTTCTTGTATCATTAAACGTCGTGTTGTCTTGTGTATTATTTGGTGTCCATATCTTATTTGTCCAGAGAAAAGAAAATTTGGCTTTGTTAATTGGTTGGTGCCCGCCACGATCTCATAAACTCTCAAATGTGCCCGTAGGCACAAAAAGGTTGGGGACCACTGACTTACACATTTAATGCATGCCTCTCTATACATGAAAGCATTCAAGAAGCAAACAAAAATGTACTTTCTGTTCTTCAATGAAGACAGCATTTAAAAATAAGAAGAGACTTGACTGCTCGCCTATATTCATTTATATTATCTGAATTAAAAAAAAAAAGTGGGCATTAGGATGACACCCGGAGACACGACATTCACATCAAGTTTCACAGAACTGTTCCAAAATTGTGATATATAAACAGAAAAACTGTAAGAAATGTTAATAATTCTGCATACCTTTGATATAGCATTCTGTGATGTGTTATACTGAGGTACTTTAATATGTGTGGGGATCTTCCTGGGGTCAACGGTGAGTTTACCAGAGGGGTCTGTTGCATCCAGAAGGTTACTCCAGGCTGTCAATCTCTGTGCCAATATGGTGCCCCTTGACTCAAAGCCCTGCACAACAAAATTTCACCTTATCAGTTTTCAGTTTCAAGATCCTACCCCAACTCATAGTGACCTAAATTAAAAAATTAATTAATAAGTGTGTTCGAATACATACACAAATTATATACTTTATATAAAAAAAATAAATTGACTTTTTAACAGTATACTAATATTTTCAGTATTATATGGTAAAGAAATAAATGGCAAACAATTTACGTTTGTTCAATAAATCATTAAAGGTAGCAGCACGAACTACATCTAGTGACAGAACACAAATGAAGATAAAACTTGGATACATGAATGAATGTGCTAATATTATCCTCCAATCTCCTTCTAGATTTTCCAGGAGGCTTCTTTACAAGATTTTACCCACCAGATTTCTATATACATCTCAATTTCTTTATTAGCATGCTATCCAGCAGCAGTAAATGGATGGAGTTGTCTCAGGAACATGTCTGGTGGCAGGCTTTGGTGTTGTCGGTTTCGGACCTGTGGGTCTGCCTCCAGGGAGTTTTTCAATATCCATTGCTGCATTCTCGCATCCTGTTCAAATTTACGGTTCACAACAGCTGAAAGCTAGCCACGGCGTACTTACCATCTGAGGGTCAGAAAAGTCGGGTGGCTTCTTCGTGGTTAGGGGGATGATCAGGCAGGTTCCAGCTAACACTGCGACCGCCATGAGGATCATGTATGGGTGATGTACCACAATACGGGCAAACCTACGACAAATAACATTAGTTTTCACAAACAACACATTTTATATTTGAGATTTGATGTTTTCATGCAGTAAAGATGTTGATTGCGATGCCACGTGATCTTACAGGTTGTTAGTGATACTTTCGAAGAATGAATCATCTCCATCTTCAGAACAATGTGAGACAAGGATGGCCAATGATCTATGTAAATGTTTAACTTCACACTGAAGGCTAGTGTGATACGTTCGTCCAAAATGTTGGTAACCACCTTCAGGACCACGTGGCATCACACACTAGAAAACAATGACTGACACATATTCTGTTACATATCATCATCATAGCGAAATCTGCAGCTTTATTGTTAAACAAGATTTTTTAATAGTGTATGTGACTGTGAGCATGAAGACATTTTAGTTATACTCCATTTCATAACAGTTCATTTGAGGAGGCATCTTGATGCCCATTTTCATTTTTAAAGGCCGTATTAGTTGCTTATCTGTTTTGGATACCGACTAGGCCAATCAGAGACTACTCTAATTTTACTGCACAGTGTAATGTCAAGTCCAGTGCCTCAGACATGTGTGTTCCTGCTTCTGTTTGTTCTCTTTTCTTATGTCTCCTTTTTGATTTCTACTTTATTTTATCGTGTTTTCATTTTAATGCTTGTCTGTAATTTGCTTTTCAGCTGTTGTCACATGTTGTAATATAATTTCCTAATATAGCACAATGAATGCCATGGTTGAGTAGTTAGCACTCCTGCTTCATGTTCACGAGGTCCATGGTACAAATTCTGGCTTGGAAACCAGCTATCATGACTAAGGATTTTAGTGGTTTTACTCAGTCCCTCCAGCAAATTCTGGCATAGTACCTTGAATTAGGCCACCTTCTATATATTTTCCAATTCTCTATTCATTAATTGTCCAGTTATTCAACAATATATAGTCAGATACTGATATCATTAAATAAGACAGTAAATACACATTAATTTTTATTATTTTATTCAATTTTTTAATATAATTATTTATTTATTGCTTTTTGATACAACTCTTAATATGATTACTTTCTGCACGGTTCTTCTGGAAATTCCTAGTAACATTTCTAAAATATACAATTGTATTGTTCTCATATGTTTTAATTCGTTTAAAACAAAATTATGTAATATTTTTAAACCGCGACAGTTTTAATTCGAATTCTGGAGGAGGGGGTAAATAAAACGGGGGGGGGGGAGTTAACTGGCTGCGGAACCGTACGATTCTGTTCTTCTTCTTCTTCTTCGATGTTCCGGTTTTGTCGATTAATATTTGTGATGATGATGATGATGATGTTCCCGTTGATGGCCATTATACTGCGGGAAGTGGAGGGGTAACTGCACAAGCAATACGTTTTCAATGTGCCGGCCGGTCGGTTGGCAGTGTACTTACCAGTTCATGGTGTTTGTATTGGAAGAGTTGATGAGGTCCAAGGAGCCGTGGAGTCCGGGATTCCCGACATCACACCTGAGCGAAACAAAAGACGGTTATTTGCGAATCACAGTCACTTAATCGGGATTCGAACCCCAAAAAGAAAAAAAAAGGTACCAACGCACGCTTCCCCATGTTCAAGCGACAGCTAGCGCTCCTGGTGCCAAGATTGAAAACGTAAGTCCAGGCGCCGACAGACGGTAATAAGACAGAAATGCAAGCTGGCCAATTGTCGCACATAAATCGCTTGTGGTACTTGAAAATAAAGTGCCAGGATGCTGTGAGGAAGTTCCATTTGACTTTCTTCCACAAGAAAAGTGTCGTATATTCTGGCGGTGAGGCCTCAAACCTCGCTTGCCCTTCTTTACGTTTCACAATATTCATCTTAACCCCCAAACCACCCGCTTTAACAGTAAAGAAAATGCAAAATGTGTTTCGTATGATTCTCGTGTTTTAGCCATTATTTCCTTAACAGCATTTACCAGTTGATCTTTGTAATGGTGAAGAGTTGTGTTTTCTTTGCGGTACGGGCTGGATTTTTCAATATTATTTAGACGAGTTTTGGCTTTGAGGGGCTAAAGGATCGGCAATCAAAATGACACCAGGGCGCCGCCCTGGACTGACCTGTTTCGACTACGGCCCTGGATACCGAATTCGGTTTCTGGGTGGTGGATGGAAGGCAGACATTTTGTTTAATTGTTAGTTGATTAGTCAGTAAAGAAACTCACTGTGGAATGAACATTACGATCCTGTTCCCGGATGGGGCATGATTTTCTCTTCTCACTTCTTCCGAAATGACTTTGGAGCCCCAAAAAAAGAATTATTTTCGATGCTCTAAAACTTCAGATTCGCCTGCCTCGTGATGATAAGAGGTCGTGCAACAGTCTGACTCCCTGTCAAAGGAGTCGTAGTTTCTCTGAATGTGGTTCTGAAGTACTGAAGGTCAATGCTGAGATCCTTCGTCCTTAACTCTAAAAATTCTCTCGTAGTTCAAGTACTGACTCTAGGGCGACCGTGGAACATGTCCTGGACATTTCTACTCTCCTGAAGAGCCTCTAGGAGCCAGGAAGGGGGAGTCGCATGAAGTTCCCGATGGACTGTAACGGACTGGGATGCTTCTCTTAAACAACGTTCCCGCTTATCCTAATCCATCTACGTGAAACTGGGATACCGAAACGTAGATTGGACGATATTCCCGAAGGAGAGATAGATAAATAAAGAAGCAGGTTAGGAAATGTACGCATAAGATAACAATTCTGGTGGGTTGGCCAAACTGTGCCCATTACAAATGGCTACAGTGACGTCAGAGTTGTCTGGAATGCTGGGGATTCTCCAAATAGCAACAATAACAGAGGTAATCACGGTAACCATGGTGACCGATTTAGTCTGGGGATTCCCCATTCAGCCGCATGTAGGTCTTCACGCAAAGTACCCGTTACCATTCTCCGATTTTAACCAAGATCGAGGTGTTTCGACAGATTTCAATGAAACTCTGCAATATCAAATTTTATGAAGATCCGTTCAGCTTTACTCGACTTGTTAAATGCAAATCGATGAACAGGCAGATATGTCGAAACTGACGACGCATTTTTGGAAGTTCCAGTTGCGAATGCGGTTAAAAGTGCTGAGAAACGAGAGGCGGAAGAAAGGAATTATGGCTGTTTTCTTTCTTCCCAGTCAAGCCGTTCGCCGTTCTGTAGGTGTGGGAAGTGTAAAAAAATATCGCGACAAATCGTGGCACTGACCCACTTGAGAATTTTGCTCTGCTCGGGAATATGTGGGCGGCACGTGACTATTTCGCTTAACCCCGCAAATATGTCGCACCGATTATGTATAACGCTTACCCTCTGCTTCCGGTTCTACCACGAGTAAATGGCTGCAGTTTTGACTAGCTTGTCTTTCTTTCTTTCTTTCCTTCATTCTTTCCTTCTTTCTTTCCTTCCTTCTTTCTTTCCTTCCTTCTTTCTTTCCTTCCTTCTTTCTTTCCTTTCTTTCCTTCCTTCTTTCTTTCCTTCCTTCTTTCTTTCTTTCTTTCTTTCCTTCTTTCTTTCCTTCTTTCTTTCCTTCCTTCTTTCTTTCCTTCCTTCTTTCTTTCTTTCTTTCTTTCCTTCCTTCTTTTCTCCTTCCTTCTTTCTTTCCTTCCTTCCTTCTTTATTTCTTTCCTTCCTC